CTCTTATGCCAATATGGTCACAATGATGCATTTAGGTACCAAAACATGGTACCGTTTGATGTTATGTGAATAGATACTCGGTAGTACCGACAGAATTCAGTCGGTACTTTAAAAAGTATCGAATTCGGTACCCATCACTAACTTAAATTAAAATTATTTGACCAAAAGAAAACCGGAGCAGGACTAGAGAGAAATGAATATGATTTAGATTTTTATTTCTGTGACTGTAACTGACCCACGGGAGACACGACATTAACAGCAGTCATCATTTCATTCCTCGACTTYAGCAGGTCTGACGCTGCTAAAAATTACAGATTTTCTTTTCTGGATCTCTGAGAGCAGGACTTCAATCTCCGAACTCGTAAAGTTCTTCTATGTATTCATCAGTTTACGCAGCTCATTTACACACTTTCTTGAAGATAGAAGAGTTTGTTGCATCTGACGTGGCATGTTTGTACGAACGCTTTGTTCAAACAAAAGTGAGAGAAATTTAGGATAAGAATATGAAAATGTTCTTGCATGAGGCCCAATGTTCATATATGTTTTTAAATTAAATTGATGCTTGAAAATAAACAWAATTTTCTACATTGCTTTAGTAATCTTACCCAGCATGACCATAAGATCCCCYAAGAGGAGTGAAGGTCCTTGTCCGGCCCACAGCCTTCTCATCTGGGTCAGTCGGGCTCGACGCTGAGTTAGCTTCGAGTTTTCCTCTTCACTCCCAGCAGGTCTGAGGAGAAATCAGAGCATGTTTGATCTAAACAATATATTATTTTACCTATAAGAACCAGTGAAAGTCCTGTTTTTAAGCTTTCTATCCTATTAAATGAAATATGCCCACCTGTCGAGGTCCTCAAAGATCTCTCGAACAGTCATGGCTGACACCACAGCGATGACGTACGGCAGGCAGTCCTGCTGCTTCCCGAGCGCCAACATCTTCCCGTAGCGTGGAGCCACGGGGAAGGAGGCCATCGCCCGGCCCAGAGGAGTGATGGGACAGCTCAGCTTCGCTCGCTGCAGCTCTTTCACCCTGATTTAACAGAAAATAAATGAACAAGTTGTTTCCATGTGTTGGGTATAACACAGCAAAACTCAAAGACACAGAATTTCAGTTTAAGTTATTGACTTTTTTTTGTTTTGCAGCCATCTTGAATTACTTTGAGTGTTTCATAAAGAYGGCTACCTTCCGGTTCGAGGTGGCTCTTCAAGAGCTCCCAACGAGACCAACAACTCCTCTGCAGCCGTCAGAGCCTCAGTGGAYGGAGGAGTGGGAAAAGGAAAATTAATCACCTGCAAACAACAGAAATTACAAACGGGTTTTTAGTTAATGTTTTATTTCTATACACTGAGGTTATTTGATCCTTTTTGCCCACCTTCTCTATATTGAGGTCCTTCATCTGTAAAATGAGATCCTCAACRGGTCTGCGAGTGATCTCCGCCTCCGAGAACAGACTGAAGTCTCCAAACACAGCAGAGGAGTACAACCTGTAGGTTAAATACATCAAAAAACAGAGAAAAAACTCCTGTGAGTGGTGAAAACAGCCACTCCCCTGCGGCGTCACCCGGCCCAGAGAGCTCCGACCTGTAGCAGTGCCCCGGCTCCGTTCGACCGGCTCGACCCGCTCTCTGATTGGCCGAGGCCTGGGAGGTCCAGGTGACTTTGAAGGACGACACTCCTGTCACTCTGTCGTAGAAACGCTTCTTCACCCGGCCGCAGTCCACCACGTATCTGATGCCGGGGATGGTCAGGGAGGTTTCTGCCACGTTTGTGGCCACGACACAGAGACGGGTCCCGGGCGGAGGAGGCCTGAACACCTGCACACACCAAAAATATCTGAACGCGTTTAACTCCTCAGGCACTAAAAACAACATAAACACACTAGTTATAGAATTAAACTTAATGTAGAATAACCAGATCAGTGGTAAATTTAGGCTCTTTTTACCATCCCAGCACTGCAACTTGTGTGAAAACGACACCTTATTTGTGTATTTAGCTTTTCTTATATTAAAACAACACATTTCTTTTGTCACAGACGGCTTTATAAGGTGTTTAGAGCTGATAGAAGATATTGATCTTACCTTAGCCTGCTGCTCAGGGGCCAGCAGAGAGTACAGAGGGAGAACATACAGAGGGATGGATGGGTCTGCTTTCTCCTCTACAGACAGAAAARSMAWWTTTTTTTTCCATTGTACCAAATTTTGTTATGAACCGACTCATTATTTTGACATTTCTGTATAAAATATGCAATATACTACAGTTAGGCCTTCTAGAAATTTAAATCCTGACTTTTTAGCTAAAGAAAAACAGAGAAACCTCAGAGGTAAAAATTTGATGTGGCAGTAAGTGTGAGTTTTTTTATGTGATAAATCTTGTGCCAGCAGGAATTGAATCTGAATTGCTCAGATTGAATCTGAAATATACATAATTTGAAATTGAATGCATTGGTTTGAAAATGAATTTCACTAAAATGAAACTGAATTTAATGATTTGAAACCGAATTTAAAGT